AAAAAAATGATGGGGCAAATTAGAATAAAATTTACCCATTAAGAGTTCGTAGAACAAGAAAAAGAAAAAAGGCAAACGAGAAAGAAGAATAATAAAAACCTGGGCAAATTGTAATCTTTAGGTCGCCACCGCCACTTGGTGTAGAGATTATCAGGCCTCCCATTCTAAGAACACCGGAACCCTTCATCCAAAAATCTGCAATCTTGCTGGTACAAGTGGTATTGTTCATCCTAGACCCACTCTCCTTTAAACAAATCATACCCTTCCGGCCTTCCCTATCATCTCTTAGGAACCCTGCCCTTTCATCCCGAGCAGTAACAGCAAAACCTAACCACTTGAACTTCGACTGTCAACAAATGCGAAGTCCTCTATGACAACCATGTAGTCCAAGTAAAAGAAGCAATGCATAAAGAACAAGGCTGTAACAAAGAAAAACCCAGGAGTCCCCAATGATGGCTCATGCGGTTCCAATCGCTTGACCCTTTTTAGAATCTCCCAGTAAGGCATGGTTTCTGGGTCTTGGGCAAGTGGAATCATAATCATTTGGAAAAGAATGACCGGTGAAATGGGTTATTCTTGAAGAAACTTGAAATGGGTTTTCAAAGGCACAACTGTATTCCCTTGTGCAAGCCCAACATAGATAAAACATTTCACCAACGATTCGAAGAGCAACAAAGAAGAAAGATTGTTTAGAACCAATGGCTTCCTCCGTGAAGAGCAACCGTGAAGAAAGATTTTAAGAATCAAAAATATATTCCCTCTTTGGACTTGAATGCAAGGCGCGAATGAGCAAAACAACGTGGGATTCCCTCTGTTTGGTGTTTCGCCGCTATGTTCATTCGAATAAAACAGGGATGGATTGGTTCAAATCTGGTTTGAAGTTACAAATGACCGAAAGACCGCCGCCCAATACATGTTTTGTAAATGTTTTGATTTTCTATGTGGCGGTCTTTTTGAACCCGCCACCTTAATATTCTGTGTGCCGTTAAGACCGCCGGCTCTAAACCGCCGCCTTTAATCGAAAATTCCTCAATTAATATAACGGAGGCTTGGGCTACGTGGAGGCCTACCGTATTGCTTTTAATTATAGGGGTCTCCCCATTTTCATCGAGGGAGACTCTTTTCTTGTGACTTCATGTTTAAATAATAAAATGGACTGCCCGTGGAGATTGAAGAACATCATCGATGAGTGTTTGAAGCTGGCCGGAGATTTAGCACTCTCTGTTTTTGCCCTCCCTCTATAGTCTTAAGTTCTATTTGTTTTTGTGATGCTTGGGGCCGAGTTACCCTCGTCTTGTGTAACTCCTATTTCTACAAAAAAAAAAACTATGTTCTAATGAATTCGGATTTCTTACTATCTTTAAACTGCTCTCCTCTCTTGTAACCTAATTAAAATACACCACCTTTCACTACCATATTAGCCTTCCAACAACCCACTAAACGTTAACCTCTGTTACATACTACTTTTTAAAAACTAAATATCTATTTTTTGTGCATAAATGTTTTTGAAAAATTTAAATTTTTATTTTTTCAATTACCCACAAACACTCATCTCTCTCTCTCTCTCGTTTAGAAATGGCATATCTCAAACCAAGCTATCTAACATTCTGCATCTTAAAACTTCTAGATGTTAATTAATATAATATGATCTATTTTAAACTTTTTGCATTTTTCTTCGTTTTTGAATTCTTGAGGTAAAACTATCTACTAAAGATACGACTTCCAGTTGATTAAATCTGATATTCATTTACGGTATTGTTCTACAGAGAACTATTATAGATACCTAACTGAACTCTTTACAATATATAAATCTATTTGGCCTGAAATTTCTAACGAATTTACTCCCTACTTCTATTTCTCAATCCAAAAACTGATATATTTGGTAACATAACGTGATAACAATTAGAATGACTCATATCTGTGGATGATGCTAAATGCAATGTTCAAAATAAGCCTTATGAGGTTCTAATTTGAGGCTCCTCAAACCTATAATAGTGATATTGGAAGCTACCGAATGTTCATTATTTGGTGAATTTATATAACTTGGTTTGAAATTTGCATTTATGGAAACTCATCCTTGGCGAGCAAGAGAGAATGGGAAAAGGAGTGTTTTGTGGGTAACTAAAAAATAGGGATTTATTTTATTGGAGGTTAAGGTTTGGTGAGTTGTTGGAAGGCTAAATCTCTTGCAACATGGGTATGGACAGCTGGTGTATTTCAATTGTGTTAGTAGAGAGGAAAGCAGATTAAAGTAAGTAGGAAATCCGAATTTAGTTCTAACACACTAAGTAGTAGACTGTAGCATATTTTGAAAAGAGAATGATTTTGTGTGTTGTATGTACAAAATAATTTTAAATATGTCAAATTTCTTAAAGTATTCCCATGGTTTAGGAAATTAACTAACTCTACTCTTAATGTTTACATATTGTCTTAAACTACTCCCAAGTTTTCTAACAATTGACATCGTCATTAAGCACTAACAGTAAAACAAAATATTAAATTTATCCTCCATTATTCCTTAAAATTTCAAAATAAAACCCAAATAATAAAAGTTTTTAAAAACTGTAAAATAGTTGGGACCATTGGAATGATGAAAAAGGAATGAGGTTATTCTTGTTTTTATAAATTCCATTTTTTTGCAAATTTGTAAATTCTGTAATGGGTTTTATTCAAATATGTAATTTTCCCGAATTCATGCTCGTACTACTCACCAATAATGGGTTTTGATGGCATGTGCTGCTACCATTGTGAACCCTCCATCGAGTTTTAATTCAAACCCTAGTGGCAATGGCGGAGACTTGAATTATAGTTCTGCCCCACCAGGGAGAAAGATAACAAATGAGGTAGAATTTATTAATTATTGGAAGGCTCTCATAATGCAATTTGGGACCAAATGAAAGGAAACTCTTACGAATCTGAACTAAATATCATTTTTTCCACTATTTTTGAAGGTATAGGATAATATAACCAAATGCTAGAGCAAAAGTTGGCTGAGATTCACATTGGAAATTGCAGGTCTCCTTAAAGCAATAAAGAAGCTGCAAGAAAAAAAAAGGGTTTATCTTTTCAGTAGAAAAAAATAAAAGCTTTAAGACCACATATGGAAATTCAATGTGCATAAACTCCACCATTTGGAAAAGAAAAGACTAAAGAAAGGCAAATCCGCTACTACCCACTACTTGTTCCCACATCTTGACTCATAGGAAATAACATTTGCACATTGGAATGTCTCTCTTTTCATTTATAGGGAGATGTTCCCAATACATGGCGGCGGTGTTCGGTAGGGGTGGCAACGAACAGAGCTTTTCACGAGCTGTTCGAGCTTGGTTCGGCTTGGTTTCAGTCGAGCTCGAGTCCAATTCAGTGGCTCGATTATTAAACGAGCCAAGCTCGAGCCTACTAGAACTCGACTCATGAGGCTCGTGAGCTCGAGCTCAAGGTTCTGACTCGAACCGAGGTCGAGCTCAAGCTCGAGCCTGGTACTATTCAGCTCGGCTCGGCTTAGCTCGAATCCAACCCTAGTGTTTGGTGGGTATAGATGTGGGAACAAATAATGGGTAATACAGAGTGGTGTTAGGAATGAAATGATTTGCACCCAAGAAAAATAAACCAAAGATTGAAAGAAATATACAATTTGAAAAATAAAATCCAACCATGAAGAATCACAAAATAGAGGAGAAAGCTATAAAGAAATTATAGTTATTCCACATGAAGCGTCTCCAAAAGAAGGGGGGAAAATCAAAAGAATCTCAAAGCCCTATAAGCGCAAAGATAGATAAGCCATGGAGGCCACTCTCAAATCCCCTCTTTCATACAGAGACAACTTAGGTAAAGAGGAGAGAAAAAATGGAGAGATAAGATAAATGGCTTGGAATGCTTAGATGTCATTTGGATTTGGATGTCCACCAACCAATTTTCTCCCATTGAGATTGTAGAGACCTGATGTTCTTATGTTATACCCATAAAAAGGACATTTTTAGGAATTTAAAAGAAATATATCATTCACTTAATCTCATATATGAACAACGTGTCACAAAAGTTAATGACAAGGGAGGTTTTAAATAATTGTCATAAAACTTAAGGGTACTTTAAGACAATATATAAATAGTAAGGGTAGAGTTAGTCAATTTCTTAAACCATAGGGGTACTTTAAGAAATTTGCCCTTAATTATTAATAAACAAAAAATGAAATAAAATCGAATATATTAATAAAATTAATAATTAATAAAAAAATTATCAAAAATAAAATATACATAAATTCCATTTAGAATGCTATAACTTAATGATAAGCTAATTTAACAATAACTAAATCAATAATGGTAAAATTTAGAAATAAATATTAATGGAAATTCCATTTGAAATTAATATAAATTAGTGATAAGTTCATAAAATTAGTAAATTTTATTATTTTTGATGTTTTTATTAATTTAAATTCCATTAAAAATAATAAAAAACTTATAGAATATAATAAGAAGCTAATAATCATTAAAAAATAATAATTAGTGAAAATTAAAATCCATATAAATTGAATATAAAATTTATATAAATTAATATAATGAAATTAAATATGACTAAATATTAATTTTAAAACTAATTTTTATTAACACAAAATCCATTTAAATTAAATTTAAAATCAATTAAAGTTAATAAAATTTAATATATCAAGCTATAACTAATAAAAACTAATACAAGTTTATCTAACAATGTTAGCAATTAATAAGAAGTTAATAGTTTTAAAATTAATTTATATTCTATTTTGTAACAAAAATGAATACAATCTATTAATTTTAAAATTATTTGTTGATTAATTAAAATGATTTAAAAATAATAAATGTTAATAAAAATTAATACAAAGGTGTCTAACAATAACTAATAAAAATAAGAAGAATTAACAAAAATTATTTATTAATTTAAAATGTTTTTAAATAGAATTTAAAAACAACAAAAATTAATACAGATTTAATACGGACCGGTTCAGGGCAGTTGGGCATGACAAAACCTATAATTTTGCCGAGGAAGTGAGAAAGAGAAACCCCGAAGTCCTTTTTCTGTCAGACACCCACTGAATGCCGAACCTCTGCGAGGTTTGAGTTTGACTCCGGAGCTTGAAATTTCCGCCATTGAAGTAGTGCCAGTCTCCTCTAGTCGTTTCCTGTTCTCGATAGAGATGCATCGCAGATCCAAGTCTCCCTATTTGAGGTTATTCTGTCGAAGGATCTTCTCCTTTCAGCTAATCGTAATACTTTTGTTGGTAAGATACTCGTCAATATCTTTTCTAGTCGATGACTTATTAGTTTCAATTATTCTGTAATTGATAGTTTGCGAACTGTATATCATCTTTGATGGGGAAAAAGATCTGAAAAAACGACTGAACATTATATGCCTGAAACTTTTGGAATCTGAAGCTTTAGCCTCTGCAACGTATTATTTATTTATTTGTTTGTTTTCTCCACCTACTATATTAACCTGGATGCCCTTACACAATTCAAGACTTCATCTAAGCATTTCTCTTCTTCTCCTTTTCTTTTACGTTCTCTTTAACATTTGGCCATAGGTTTGAATTTCCCTACATGCTGGTTGATTCAGAGCCTTTGATACCCTTAAAGAGATTGTAGAGACGATAGAAGATTGCGGTCAGAGCGTTGAATAATCGATACTGACTGTTCCACCAGCGTCCCGAAACCATAGGAACCTTGAAAATGCGACATGGAGTGGTTAGGAAGAGCTTCTTTAAGCTCACAATTCTTCTCTGATCTGAATTACCTACCCTGTGGAGTGTACAAGAGAAGTTATATCTCTAGAATGGACACTATGACGCACATCCCCATAAAGAAGTCGCGTCACAACCTTCCCCTCGGCAATTACAAATCTCTCCATCTTCCAATTTTCCAGCACAAGCATGGCCTAACTTTTTGTCTAACATTGGATTCCACATGATTAAGAATGACGAGCAGAAATGATAGATGGAGAAAATATTAATGATTCTCGGCTTGAGTCTTGGCACCTCAAATTTGATGGTACTATTAATCCAAACCTTCTTTATTTGAGAGCCTTGGAGGAACAATCTTACTACAACGTTTCTTATATTGAATGTGTTTGTGCTCTTATAAGCTAACACCTAACAATGAGTATATTTGAGATGAGGATGCTGAAATGGACTTAATGACAAGACAGAATGAAAAATGAGTGAATTGGAGAAGAGGTAGGAGTAGTTCCAATTAGTGACAGGATGACTGAGATGACATGGTCATATACATAGATGACCAAAACTGGCACCATGAGGATTTAATTGGTCCAAAGAGCAAGGGGAAGACCAAAGAAAACGTGGCCTGAAGTGATAGAAAGTGAATCGAGGACTCAATAAAAATGTTTATACTGTCACTTTATGTTTTTTGCTCTTTCAATTTCACTTCATACAATCATCTTATATGATTAAAAGCAACACATCTACTTATAAAAAAAAAGCAACACATCTAAACCAGATGCTTTGTTTTTTTTCCCAAATGTTGGACAATGCCATCACTGTCATTTGGCCAACAGGTCATCTTTGTGAATACTTAATGAGGAAGTCCTGGATAAATGCTAAGTGTTTTCTTTGTAAATATGCTGTTATAAAAATCGTTCCTTATGAAATTTCTGTTTTCTATTGCCAATTGAAAACTGGTGGTTTAGAGATTAGAATGCTATATAAATATGTTGTATATAGGTCAGTAAAGTGCTTTTTTGTCTTTTTTCCCCTACAGTTCCTATCTGCCAGGTTAGATGGTGCTCCATTTGGGGGTCGCAAAGGTGGGAAATCATCTGTATTTTCTTTATTTAATCTTAAAGAGAAAAGTAGGTTCTGGAGTGAGGCCGTGATACGTGGGGGTAAGTCTTGCCTTTTGTGATATTATGAATGGCTACTATTTCATATGCGATTTCTAACTTTAGGATGCCAAATTAGAGAGTTTTTTTTTTTAATGAAACTATTTTAGTTTGTTGAGCTTTTTCTATGCAACACCAACATATATTATCAGTGCTTGCATGATCTTTATTTTGTTGGTTTTAATTTTTGACATAGTTGTTTTCATTACTCTTTTAGCTTTTCTGAGAGGGGTTTTTATCGACATAGGGGATTTACCCTCTATTCTAATCCACATTCTTTGTCTTACTGTTTGCAAATTTTCAGATTTTGATGACTTGGAAACTTCAGTATCTTCCAGCCCTGGCAAAGTGGGTGTTTCCAATTACACCAAGGCAGGTAGTTACATGTAATGGAATTATGTAAAAGTGTTTGTCTATCTACCTATCTATTTATACACGTTTGTGTGTGTGTGCAGTGTGTAAGAGAGAGAGAGCACTGATAACTTATCACTGGAGCCTATAGTTCTCTCATCCTAAATTGCATTAACCCTAAATATCGGTAACCTACCACTGGAGCCTATTAGCTCACCCATCCTGAATTACATCAGCCCTCAAATTTCCTTGCCATGGTAGGTTCTTGATACATATCTACCTGGTCAACCCCCTTCCCTTGCAAGAAGTTATTGACAGAAGTTTCCCTTGCCTCTTAAGCCTTAAGGAATATGCATTGTTGTTTGAACTTATAACAAATTTTATGCACTGTCCTCCTAACTCACATAAAGCTTATTTTTAATATTTTCAAAATTTCTGTGGATTTATTTTATGTTTCCAATTTAGAAGATTATTTTTTCTGCTTTATTTATTTCAACTTTTAGGTAGAAGGAAACTTCTTTCTGGAATCTCTTTGGTATAATTATTTCAGATGGGCTTCTAGGATTATATTTGAAAATATAGAAGATTTGCAAAGATAAGAATGGTCCTATTTGAAGGAGAAATGTTATCAAGGGAGGATGAAATTGTGAGAGATTTTGTGAATCACTTCAAAGACATTTATGGAAGAAATCAAGAAGAAAGAGATCCTTGCTTGAGCTGGATTGGGACAGATTGCCTATCCCAAAAGGAAGCACTGGAAGATAGGTTCACATTGGAGGAGATAAAAGAAGCAGTTTTTTTTTTTTTTGGATGAAATCTCTTAACCTCCCCAAGTGAAAAAATTACAACACAGCCCAGAATAAGCTATTCCTTCCCACCCCTTATAGCAAGGAGCCGACTTATTACAACCTTCAAATCACCTTCAATTAACAATTCCCTAATTTCCATCTCCTTAGCCTTTCGAACCCCTTCCATAACCACCATAATTTCAGCCCTTACCCGAGAAGAATGCAATGGCAATTCCCTCCTCATTCCTGAACACTTCTCTAATGCCAGATGGGTCTGTGTTGCCTTCACTACTGCCATCAAAATTGAGCTTAACAACACCTCTAGGGGTGGGGACCACATAGGTTTAACGACCACCCTAAAGGGGGAAGAACTACCTCTCTCCAATTTCTCAATACCTCACCCCCAGAAACATCCTTGAAGAGCTCCAGTGACTTCACTTAATGGATCACCTTGATGTTAGCTTTAGTAATAGCTTCTCTGCTTCGTTCTTTACCAAGAATTATTCGCTAGTTCCTCTCTCCCCAAATTGTCCAACACACCGCTTCCCTTGTGCACATTCCTAGCAAAAGGCCTGAATTTTTGGGGGTACAGGGCTACCCCACACCTCCTTTGAAGGAAAGTTCCCTACAAGATTAGAGGTTTGAAGCAAAATGTTATAGAAAGAAGAGCAATTGAAAAAACCAGAAGGGGAAGGTTTCCAAATTCTGYTATCYCYACARRAYTGATCARGAAAGACTTCCCCTAACTGAGTGATCAAATCATCAACCATCCCCATTTCAGAATCCCTTAGACCTCTTCTCAAGCCCAAATCCTAGGAGTTATGAACAAACACTAAAGAGATCACTTTTCTTTTGTTTTCAGACAAGGAGTAAACAGAAGGAAATCTATCTCTAAGGGAGTTTTTACCAACCCAAACATCTTTCCAAAACAAGACTGTGTTTCCAGCGCAGACATCATGTTTGAAATAAGGAAGCATAAGAGGCAAAATACCTTGAATAGCTTTCCAAGGAGAACACTGAGAAGCCCTAGGGTCGAATCCTGCATCCCAACCATTATCTGCCAATCCATGAATACTAACAATCACTCTAGACCAAAGTCTGTCCTGTTCCATCGGTAGTCTCTAGGGCTGTTCACGGGTCGGGTTGGGTCAGTTTACTGGCGTTTTTCCAACCGACCCGATTTGGTCGGTTTACCTAGAAATGAAACCGAAATCGACCCAGTACTAAGTAAAACTGACCTGGTCGGTTTTAATCGGTTTTGTGAATGGTTCTCTCGATGTGAACGGTAAAGGATTCAAGTCTAAGAAAGCAAAGGCTGGATGCCTGGAAATTAAAAAAGATTTGATGGATTAAAACTGATATTTTATATATCAGAAATTTTATATATAATATGTATATTTTCTGAAATAAAGCTGAAATATATATATATATATATATTCCACAAATATATATTAAAACTGAAATATATCATATATATATATAAGTCAGTTCGGTTTATGTTTTTGTGTAACCCGAAACCGACCGATGATGAAGAAAAACCGACCAACTCGGGTTGGACCGGACTGGGTTGGTCGGTTTGGGTCTTGTTATGAACAGCCTTAGTAGTCTCCAAATTCATTTCCCCAGCAAAGTTGTGTTTCTTAATCTTATATTTCCTAACCCAAGACCTCCATCATCCCTACTCCTAGAAACCACTTCCCACTTCACTAAGTGGTCCTTCTTAGTATCCCCTGGTTCCCACAAGAAGTCCCTCATTATCTTCTCTAATTGGTTAGCTACTTTCATTGGTACTCTAAAGGTAGACAAGAAATAAACTAGTAGGTTGGCCAAGGTTGACTTGATTAAGGTTATCCTACCCCCTAAGAGATGTAATTCCTCTTCCGATTTGCTAACCTCTTGGAGAATCTTTCCATTTGCCTTCGAGAACAATAGGGAGATCAAGGTTAGGGAAGGTATCATATAGAAGAGGGTTGACGTTGACTTGTTACCTTAGTATTGATGGGAGGTGCAAGAGGTTCATCTAAAGGTGTGGAGACAACTTGCACATCTCTGAGTCTTTGACTCTAGAACCACCTTTGGATAATAGGATGGAAAGAAAATGTGGGAGGATGAGTAGGAGGAGGAAGGGGAGTAGGAACATGAGAAGAACACCCATTAAAAGACTCGATGAGAGGAGACTCAATAGAAGACTTAATAGGGACTGGAAGAGGGACATCGCAAACAACTTCTCTGAATGCTACCCCTCAGGAGAAGTACCAAAGAAAGGAACAAACTCAGCAAATGTGACATCTATGGAAACAAAGTGAGTGCCACGAACCGGATCAAAACAACAATACCCCTTTTGTGTGGAGGCATATCCCAAGAAGACACTTGTGTGCTTCAGGATCAAACTTATGTCTTTGATGATTGTGAACATGGACATAAGAAGTGCACCCAAACACTCGGAGGAAGAGAGAAGAGATCCTCCTTTGGAAACAAGAGGCTAAGGGGGGTTTTAAAACCCAGAACTCGGGAAGGCATTTAGTTCATCAAATATGTAGCTGTAAGGACAACATCCCCCCAAAACTTAACAGGAACATGAGAAGCAAAAAGGAGGCTCCTCACAACCTTAACCACATGTCGGTTCTTCCTTTCCACCACTCCGTTTTGTTGTAGAGTGTAGGAACAAGAACTTTGATGAATAACTCCAAAGGTATCAAAGTAGTAGGAAATACTCTTCTCAAAATATTCCTTTGCATTATCAGATTGGAATATTTTGATTCGAGTATTAAACTAGGTAAAAATAAGTTCATGATTTTTTTGTACAATATTGGGCACATCGTCTTGGGATCTCATAAGGTAAATCTAGGTGTAACGAGAGAAACCATTAATGAAAAGGAGGAAATACTTGTAACCCCCCTCCCCCCCATAGCAAATAAATGATATGGCCTCCAAGCATCAGAGTACACAATATGGAAAGGAGAAACTGATCTTTTATTACTTATTGAAGAAGATTGTTTACAATGTTTTGCAAATTCACATGACTCACAATGAAGAATTGATAGGGATATTCCCTTAAACATTTCTGGAAACAAAATACAAGGAATACTTCTTGCAAAAGAAGTGGGCGTGGAGCAGCTTCTGATTGAAGGAGACTCTAAGACAGTGGTGGACTGGTTAAATAATCCGGAGGATGTCACTTGGGGCTACAAAAATGAGTTAAAGAAATTCAAATGGTTAACAAGAAATATGTCTATAACAGTACAATGGGTTGGGAGATCAGCTAATGCTTTTGCTGATGTCTTGGCAAAACAAGGGATAAATAGGGAACCATTGTTCTGGGCACAATTGTAACTATTGTTTTAATTTCAAGATTCATGTTTTCTCTGTTGTAGTTTGTGTATTTGCTGTTTGGAGAGGCTGCTCCTCGCGCCTCTAAGTGGATCTTCTTGTATCTATTCATTATTTTAATAGAATTGATGTTATTTATCAAAAAAAAAAAAAACAAATGACTCAAAGCTGAAAAAGACAAATGGCCAAATCTCAAATGACATAACATGACTCTATCAACTGACTCTGATGAGATAGACTCCAAAGCTAGCTACTCCACTAGGTGGTCCAATACTTCGATAAGAGATATCCAACAAATATATTCCATTCGCCTCATGGCCACCCCCAATCGTCTTCTGAGTTTTTAGGTCCTGAAAAACACAATGAATATGAAAGAAGGTTATGCTACAATTCATTGATTTTGTTAAGGCTGCGTTTGGAAACGATGCAAATAAGTGTGAATGCAAATATGTAGAGTGTAAAACGGTTCATATAAATTGAAAAATTGGGTTAGTTTTGCACTGACAAATTTGCCTTCTTACCAAATAGACTTTTGGCTGTAATGGATGCAGACATGAATTCCAATAAGGCATATGCTTTTTTTTTTATCAAAAGCCCACTTGAATGCAAATTTACTTCTTTTTTATTGATGTACTTTTACTTCTTATTATCAATGTAAATATGCATTGATCTGTCATTTGTTAATGCATAAATGTAATATTGCCAAACACAGGCAAAAGTGAACCCGAGTGCAAATTTACCTTGAACCAGGATTTACATTTGCATCATTTCCAAACGCAGCCTAAGCTACTAACAGATAAAAGGTTAGTGCTAAGTTTGGGAGCATGAAGGATAGAGGACAAAACAAGGGAGTCAGAGGCTCTAATATTCCCTTTGCTAGAGATGGGAGCAAGAGACTCATTGGCAAGGGAAATCTTCTCTCTACCAGAGCGGAGCTGGTATGGACAGAAAATGTTAGATATGTTGGTCATATGGTCTGATGCACCAAAATCTATAATCCAAGGAATTCTATGATTACTTAAGGCTGTAGCATGATTTGCAGAAGCACGAATACCTGAATGGGCAAATGTGGATGAAGAGGTGTTGCTTGAGGAGGAAGTTGCAACAATAGTTTCCAAGTGATTTAATTAACCTCCCATATCTCTCAAATTATGCCTTCACTGTTGTTGCTTCACTTGGGCTTTCCAGACTGACCACCTTTTTAAAGTTGTTGTTGTTGTTCCGAAACCTATCTTGAAGATGATCTGGATGAAGTTTCCAACAAGTATCCTTAGTATGTTTCGGTTTCTTGCAGTATTCACATATCACCTCTTTCTTCTCTATGATCCCTTTGGTTTTATTTCAGCATTTGCAAAATTTTCTGAAGGTGGTGGACCCTATAACTGTACCCTGTCGCCTGTTTTCTTTACTGCTCACCATAGAATATGCCTGAGCAAGTGTTACTTCATCCTTGGCCATAATATTCTGTCTTGTAATATCAAATTCAGGGTTAAGTAAGTCCCGTAAGAAACTCAAACGTTCTATTTCTTTCCACAAATTTCTTGAACGTCTTTGCATCCTCGGTGCTTTCCCATACAACTACTTCCCTAACATCAATTTGTTGCCATAGTGACTTCAACATTGAGTAGCAAATAGCTACACTCCTCTCCCCTTGTTTCAGAGTTTTCACATCATTCTTTAGTTTATAAGCCCTTACAACACTCACTTGCTGAGAATATGTTTCTGTAACACTATCCCAAATCTCCTTGGCTGAAATTATCGAAAGATAATGTTGACTTATGTGGGGCTGCATAGAATTTACCAACCATCCAATAATTGTGTAGTTATCTTGCATCCATTTCTCATATGTAGGATCATCCTTTTCCAGTTTCTCCTTACTGCTTGTGAGAAACCCTAGTTTTCCTCTACTATAGACATGAATCTTTATAGATTGTGCCCAAGCTAAATAATTTGTTCCATCAAATTTGATTGTAATCACTCTTGTCAAAATGGAATCTAGGGGACCAACCCTGACACCGGGATCTGCTTCATCTCACTTTCAGATTGCTCCATTGATCAAATGAAAATCAAAAAACAAGGTTTTCAAGCTTTATAGACCTAATTGAGGTCAGTCCAACACTTAAAATCCCAAAACTAGGGTTTCAGTGTAAATGGTCTCCGGGGAGAAAGAGAGAAGAAGTAGCTCCTCCAACCAGAGCTTCCCAAACCAGTTCCAACTGCAACCACCCACTTTTGGAGATCAAAAGGATCCCGCCAAGCCTTGAACACCACACCCAAACAACCTCTTTAACTTGTATCTGGAAACTCTCTAGTCGGCTAAGGTTTTGGGCAAAAAATCAGAAACCCCACTTTCTTGGCAATCTACAGTCAGATTCTGACTCTCCAAACCCTCTACCAACTAGGCATACAAGTTCTCTGAATAATCAACAACTTATCTCTCCATACACCTTTCGATTAGAAGAGTGTATGGGAAAAGAAAAGAAAGATAAAAGAGAAGGAAGATTTGCTCTGATACCAAGATGTGATTCAGACCAATAAAAAATAGTAAAAATATTTCAAATTATAGCAGAAGAGAGAGAAGAAGGAAGAATGGAGAAGAAGGGAGAAAAAAGGAGTTCGATAATCTCTTCTTTCTCCACTCTAATCTTTTATTTATCTTACTAAGATTACATAAGTTATAAGTCTACCCTTAAGTAGGCACCTACCTCATTAGCATACTTAGAAAACATAAAAAGAATTAAAAGCCCATAAAGAACAAATAGCAAGAAAGAACTAATCAATAAGATAGTAATGGGCTAGGCCCCATTCGGCCCTGTCTCTCTACAGGATGGTTTAAGCAAAACAGGACAGGTTCTTAGATCCATAGATATGTGATAAGGAAAGCAAACAAGATCTGTCAACAGCATGGCTATTGTGTTGGCAAAACCAGGTGTGAATAGACGTGGAAGGAGACTTCAAGCTGGTAATGGTATTGCTGCAAACAAGAAGCTTGGGAACTTGGCGCCTCAGACAGCCTATAAGAGATTATGTGTTTAGCAAAGTAGTTTGGGGGTACACTTTAAATGGACTAGAAGATTAGGAAATGGAATTGCTGACACCTTAGCAAAGCAAGGAGTCAATATGGAGGTCTTGTTTGTAAAACTGTCTTATTGTTTAAGGGTTCATCATCCTTTATTTGGGTGGTGACAGTTGTACTCCTTGAGTCTTATTTAATTAATGAAAGTTACCATTTTCCTATAAAAGTAAGGTGTAAACAGAAACCAACTTGTATTGGGGGTAACTTCCCATGGTGAAAGTCGTAACTAGAAAATCATAATGTAAGGGGGAGCCAGCTGATGGTAGTCATATGAGGGGTACTTGCATGCATTATATATATCCACCATTCTCTTTGAAGAATAAAGATTAACATAATGAGGTGTTTTCTGGGTGCAGCCTTGGGAGCCATAGTGAATCTGGTAGGGGGACAGTGCTTTTTGAGAGTTTAATGTGGATATCAAATTGGTATTTTCTGGACCATTAGGACTGGGCAATTCTGTTCAAGCAGAATTACAAGCTTTTCTCCAATGACTGAAAGTGGCACTTACCTATGGCATTTAGGATATTATGATAGAAGGTGATTCCAAAGCTATGATATCTTGGATGGATGGTGAGGTGAATGGATCGATTGACTATGGAGGCTTAGACATCAAATAAGGGAACCAAGACAATTGGCAGCATCTCTAGGTGCAGGCCTCAATTGGATTCCTTGATCTATTAATAGCCTTGCTGATTTTGTAGGCTGTGAAGGTGTTGCAGACAGGCTTTAGTGTAGGGTGATTATTCATTGCACCATCAGAAACTGGTCTATATGGGGGTTCTATTAGGGGCAAATGGGGAGTAGCACTACTAGCTATATTGTATTTATTGATAAAAAAGGTTTGTCTATTACTGGGTAAATGTCTTGGGTGTAGAGGGAAATGATATACTGTAGATATGGGTTCTGGGCCTTTATTTTTTTAATTTCCCTAAATCCACATATAGATTAATAAAGTTTTTTGATCACTCATGTGAAAAGATCTATTCATTGTAAGATTAAGTGGTCCCAATTATTCTGATGATGGCTTGGTTCAATTTTCTTTATATTTTCTCCTTTTTCTTTCCTTCTTGGTCATGAGTATCCTGCATGGAAGGTCCTCAACCACACACCCCTGCCCCTCCCCCAAAAATAAAGAAATAAAAACATTTCTTATTAGAATTTCCTTAGCGTCATCCCTATCCCTTGCCAAAAACCTTTTAATTCAAATCTGATTTATCAATGTAAATTTCTTTCTTACCTTTCAAAAAGAAAAAACCTATTACTTTTGCAGAAAGTTTTTTATTTCGGAATATGTGCTCATGAAATTGCATCTGGTTTTAGTTAGAAATTTGATTATGATGAGATTTTTATATTTTTCTTGTTCTTCCTCAGGCAATATTGCAAATTATCTCAATCTTTTGGAAGTTGAATCTATTTACCTTCCAGTCCCTGTGAATTTTATTTTCATTGGATTTGAAGGGAAGGGGAACCATGGTAAACACTAAAAATCTCTGCTCTTCAATATTTTCTGTTTAATGGTTTCCTTTTTAAGGCCAATAATTAGATTGGTTTCTTGATGCTTGCAATTGCATTTATCATTTTTTTCACAGAATTCAAGCTAGGTCCTGAAGAACTGGAGCGTTGGTTCACAAAAATTGATCACATTTTTGAACATGCACGGATACCACACATTGGAGAAGAACTTACCCCATTCTACAAGATTAGCATTGATAAAGCACAAAGTCACCATCTTCCAATCATCAGTCACATAAATTACAAGTAATGGTTTTGTACCATCCTCTTCTACTTGTTCAATTTAAAGTTTGGGTTTAGTACACTGCATTGCAATTTCTTAATTTCTACTTCTGATCTATGGGGCTGACTTATCTTTTTGTTGACTTATATTGTGCATGTATTTGCAGTTTTTCTGTTCATGCCATACAGATGGGAGAAAAAGTTACTTCTGTTTTTGAACATGCCATAAATGTCTTATCCCGCAAGGATGATGTTTCTGATACCAGGTATTATATTTGTATTCTGCCATGATCTTGAATCATCTGCTTATACGAGTATTGCGATTTCTCAGTTCCTTGTAACTATGTTATCCATGCATACTATTAAGGCTGCAATCTTATCTTGCTCCTTAACAAACAAAATGTGATTAGCTTGGCATTGTCAGTATCCCACATGCTGTACCATTTTATTAAAGTAAACTGTGTCTGAGGGGACTGTTCTAGTCCATACAATGATTTTTTTCAACTTCAAGCAACATACTTTCTCTCTTCGCTCTTCACTTTCCTTCATTTGAAAACTTGGTGGATAAATCATATACACCTCCTCCTCCAAGTCTCCAATTCTCCATTTAAAAAGCAGTCTTAATATTAAGTTGATGAAGAGGTCAGTCAAAATTTGCTCCTAAGGATATAAATATCTGTATGTAGAACTGAACACAGAGAAAAAGGGAAAGAATAAAACCGAAGCTGACAAAAGAGTAATCTCCCAAGTCTTAGTTTGGTTGAGACTTTTAGATTGGTTAGTCTCTTCCATGGTTGTCAAGGCGACTTCTAGGTGCCAATTGGTGTCATTGATTCACTGCAAGCAGAAATTGTAGTGTCGGGGATTCCTGCTATCATATGATGAAATGGAGACTACCTCCAGGAATATCAAGAAATAAGAACATGGCCTAGCATGTGGAGTGATGAATTCACATTATCATAACACTTTCTTGTGGCCTCTGAGAAACCCGGGCAAGCTAGAAGTCAAAGGATAGACCAAATCACCCAATAGGTGCATGCCTGGTGGATTTGTTCATGAGCTCACATAGTCACAACGATTTCTCGCGACCATCCAATAAAACACACACATGCTGCTATCAACGAAATTCAAAACCAACTAAATAACCCAGCGAGGGCATGTTTGGTATTGCTACATCGAATGATACAAGAACAAGCCACTATCATATAAAATATGGACTACTTTAGGGTATGGTACCTAACTATGACAATCAGGTAATACCAAGGTAGCTTAACATGTAGAATGACACGTAGTTGATAAGGCACTCATGGAGGGTTGCGTCACTTAATTGCCAAGGTATTTTTTACACAGTGCTTTTGGCTACTTTAATGTTCTTAATTTCCTGAGATTATAGTAGTAAAACAGACATTGTTAAACCTAAATTGTTCAGTTTGAGTTAAAATACTAGTTTCTTTTTATTATTTTTCTTATTTGTTAGGGTTCAATCAAGATGTATACTGTCTTGAACCCTTGAAGACTTCAAAACCTGAATTAATAAAGCATGGAAGAATTCAAAATTTTGTGTAATCACATACTGATTTTCTTCTTCTTCTTTCATTGCCTTTTGAATATCTTCATAAAACATCTTCTTAAAAGGCAATGAAAGTTGTAAAATCATTATTTTTTTTATGTGAGAAATAAGAATTTCAGACCCTAACATAGACTTGTTCGGGCTTGCCTCGAGAGGCGTGCTACAAAGGCAACTCATAGAATCAAGAATGCAATATGTTTTACATCACATTAACTACTTTTTTTTTTGATCAATCATCACATTAACTACTTGAAGCAATGCAATTAAGGAAAAAAAGAGATTGCGGGTTTTACATGCTTGAAAATGCTTTATATGTTTGCTTTTATTTTTAAATTTTCATTTGAATACACTTTACATGTTATGTTTATGTATTTTAATTTTAGATAATAGGTTATTTATCAAAAAAAAATTTAGATAATAGGTTTTTTAAATCATTTATTTTAAAATTTAAGTTTATATTTTTTTTTAACATCATGTTTATTATTTTTTAATATTTTTGCATTTTTTAAATTTTTTTTGGAAATTTCTTACTTTTTTTTTGATTTTTTAGCTTTTTTTTTGTAATTTTGCGCCTTTCTTAAAAAGGCACGCACCTTGCCTTGCGCCTCAGGCGCAAATTGGCCCTTGTGCTTTTTTTGTGCCTTGAGCTTTTAAAACACTGTATGGAACCTAGGTAACTACCCTAGGATTCATGGTTTTTATTCAAAAGAATCCCATTCCCTAGGCATCATCTATGTGCCTGCCTGGGTGACTAGGTGACAAGGTGCCCTCTACTGCCTTGCCGTGGTGCCTTGAAAATGGTTTTGGTAACTTCAATACCCAGAAAATATCTCAGCTTTTCTAGGTCCCTTTTTTGATAATTATAATAAACTTATATTAATTCAGTAAATATAGGCAGTACAAGCAACCCTTAGAGAGGCATGAGGTGCTATCTCTCTCAATATAAAATAAAATTTCATATTACAATTGAGGCCAGAACGATTGATTCCTATTAACCCCTTGCTTAGCTAAAGCATCTGCCATCACATTTGCCGATCTCCTCCCCCAATGTATCCTCAAATTCATATTTTTTGTGAACTGTATCTTTCATCTCATCCCTAAAACACTATGTTATAGACTCTGGTTCTTGCAATCATCCTGTCACCAATTTTGAGTCCCCTTCAATCTCAACGTTTACTATATTCATTTCAATTGCAATTTGTACCCCTTGTAATGCAACAAGCAATTCAGCCTGACATGTCCTTTTATCACCCTTCCTATTCCAAAGGGCCCGTCTTGGCTGCTCCCATCAAAATTTAGCCCCACGTAATCTTCAACAGGAGGCATCTGGCATCCACGCTAAGTTATTCTTTCCTTTTTGAATGAGCTTCTAACCACCATCTTCCAATTTTTCTATAAATCATCAATTGAGAACTGCGATAAAGTGTCCAAATCAATACTGCCCTCACTACCATTCCTCATCAATGACCACCATATGTACCTAGAATAGCCAGGGAATATATTGATCTCAAATCTGGAGCAAGGACAAGATAACTGTTCTGGTTGAATCCCCAGTTCTCATGGGATATCAGAGCAACCAATAACATCCTTTATATTCTCCAAATGCCTGATTGAACCTTACTGGCCTGCATTCCATGGAGAGCAACCATAAGCTTGATCATTCCAGGTGAAAAAGAGTGGGAGTGGGGTGCAAATTAAAGGTTGCATAAAACAACCTTTCATGCATCTTTAACAGTAGAGTTATTGAATTATTCTCCAGTATGAACCCAACTTACTCGTATACTTTGACAACAATGAAAGAAAGGAAAGGGAAAGTAGAGGAAAAGTACATGTCCTTTCTCCTAGTATGGCCTATAGGTAATTTAAATTGTTAGTGGAACAATCTTTTGGGGCTAAAGAATCATTTCTTTGTGTTCTTTAATTTGTTCATTTATACTAACATTGAAAGTTTCAGTTTGAAGAAATGCTTGGCTGATTACTGCATGTAATTCGATATGGATGCTTTTGAGCTGCTCTGTTATGATGTTTTAATGCTTGTATGTACAGAGATGATGAAGATATTCTTTGGCAAGTAGATTTGGATAGTATGGATTTTCTTTTCACAAATCTTGTTGACTATCTTCAACTTGAAAATGCATACAATATTTTCATCTTGAATCCTAAACATGGGAAAAGAGCTAAGTATGGATATCGGTAAGTACTCTGATCTTCTTCTCATTCAGGCTAGTGAGGTACTTATCTTAAATGCAAATTGTTTCATGGTATGCCAAACTACTTTGGAGATAACCTAATAATACATAGAAACCATGCAGGTTGATATTTCTTATGTATAAGATAAAGTGTTTTCAAATGTTTTCCTCCCTTCTATTGCATATTTATTTCTTGGATTCTGGTGGAAGGAGCCAAGAAATTCTCTTGCTGACTTTGTGATGCTTGTCATGTTGTATATATTGCATTCTTTTAATTGTATAATAAACTTCAAATGTTCTGTTGTCTCCTGATTCTGGTGGCACACCTCAAAGCTATGGGGGGTGTCCTGGGCTATGCCAAAGACTTTCATGGATCTCTTGTGGTGCTGGAGTCTTCTAGGTTCGACCAGACAGCAAAGTGCATCTGGTTGTCTATTCCTGCGGTTGTGTTTGGCATTGTGTGGGCTGAAAGAAACAGAAGACAATTTCAACAAACCTCAAAGGAGGTGGAGCATCAGAATCCAACTGTCTTTAGCATCAGAATCCAACTGTCTTTCTGAGCTCCAAGAGCTGGGGAGTTGTCCTTGTGGGCTTGTTGCATCATGTTTCTTGCTGGTTATTTAATAAATTGTTTAACTTGCCTTCTTCAGAAAAAAACTTCAATTGTTACCTATTATAAAAGTGTGTCACCATGGAAAGCCATTCATGATCTACTTCCAACTTTTTCTCCTCTCATCATGTATGATTTGAACACGGGCAATTCCATAAAATTCTGGGAACAAATCTGGGTGGGAATGCCACTCTTATGGATTTGTTTCCTTCCTTGTATGCCCTTTTTGATTTTAAGAATGAGCCAGCTTCTTCTTTCATTACCCCTTCTTCCTCATCTTCTGGATTTGGGTGGAATTTGGGCTTGAGAAGGGTTGTGAGAGATATAGACTTGAATAGTATCTTGAGCCTCCTTGGCCTCCTTGATAATGTTTTCTTGGACCCTACTAAGCTGGATTCTAGAATATGGACCCCCACCCCCTCTGGCTCTTTTTCTTGTGCCTCTTTTTTCAAAGTTCTAAGTTAGACCCCTAGCCCTATTTCCCCTCCCTTCCCGGACACTGAGGTTTGGTGCAGACCAATTCCCCCTTGAGTTGGTGGTTTTTGTTGGGAAGCTTTTTTGGAAAGAATCAATACGGTGACTTGCTCCAAAAGAAGAGGCCCAATACTTGTTTATCCCCTAGCTGGTGTGTTCTATGTAAAGCGGATGGTGAAACTTGTTTTCATCTATTGGTAAATTGCCAGTTTGCTAAGTCCATTTGGGTGTGGGCATTATCCCTCTTTGGGGGTAGTTGGAATCCTCCAAAAAATTTGCAAAGCCTTTTGTCCCCTTCCTTCTTCAGGTGCCGATTGAAAAGGGGAAGAATCATGTGGAGATGTTTGAGGGCTGCTGTATGTTGGGCTTTGTGGGAGGAAAGAAATTCCAGGATCTTCTTTAAAGAAGAGAGGGGCAGTGAAAAATTGAGAGATTTGATCCTTTTAAGGGCAGTACAATGGCTGAAATCTGTTGTATAGGAAGAAGAGAGAAAGGGAGAGAGGAGAGGAGAGACGAGAGGACTGAGAGCCCAAAAAGATACTGCAGGCGGAGCAGTATGTTATTATTTATACTAGGGCGACAACAACTAAACATAAAGAAAGGAAAAGTACAATAGTACCCCTGCGGTACTATACATATATAAAATAACATCTGTTAACACTCCCCCTCAAGTTGGAGCATAGATATCAATCATGCCCAACTTGTCACATAGATCATGATGCCTTGAGTGGTGTAATCTTTTTGTAAAGATGTCTGCAAGTTGGTCCTTAGAGCTGACATAGGGAGTACACACTTCGCCTGCGATGACTTTCTCTCTGATAAAATGCTTGTTGACTTCGATGTGTTTTGTTCTATCATGTAGCACTGGGTTAGCAACAATGTTTATGGCTGCTTTGTTATCATAGAATAGGGTCATAGGCTTGTCCACTGGAAAACCCAACTCACTCAACAGATTCTTTATCCACATGCTTTCAGCCACTCCATGAGCCATTGCACGATATTCAGCTTCAGCACTGGATCTAGCCACCACACTTTGCTTTTTACTTCTCCAGGTAACAAGGTTTCCTCCTATAAAGGTGCAGTAGCCACTAGTAGACTTTCTGTCATTTAGAGATCCAGCCCAATCTGCATCAGTATACACTTCAACTTTCAAATGCTCGTGTCTTTGAAACAACAATCCAGCACTTGGAAACCTTTTAAGATATCGGGGGATTCTTTCTGCTGCTTCAAGATGAGTGGACATAGGTGCATGCATAAACTGGCTAAGGACACCAACAGCATAAGCAATGTCTGGGCGGGTCATAGAAAGATATAACAATCTCCCTACAAGTCTCTGAAACTGTTTCACATCCTTGATAGGTTCACCTTGGCTGTCACCTAATTTATGGTTGGGATCAATGGGAGAGTCAACTGGCTTCACTCCCATTTTTCCAGTGTCCTGGAGTAAATCTAGGACATACTTTCTTTCTTTATGTTTAGTTGTTGTCGCCCTAGTATAAATAATAACATACTGCTCCGCCTGTAGTATCTTTTTGGGCTCTTAGTCCTCTCGTCTCTCCCTTTCTCTCTTCTTCCTGTACAACATGGTATCAGAGCGGGACGTCCAGGTCTGAAGGGTGAAGTCAAGCAGTCTGTCTTTTCCTCTTCCAGCATGTAGAAGTCAAGCAGTCTGTCTTTTCCTCTTCCAGCATGTAGAAGACTTTGTTTCGAGGGTGACAGATTTTTAGAAGTTATCATATGCTGTCCATCTGCTGTTCGGCTGCCCTGATGTTCGACTGAAACTTTCAGAAGTTATCATCTGATGTTCATGAAGTTATCATCTGCTGTTCATCTGCTGTTCGGCTGCCCTGATGTTTGATTGAAGTACCTTTTGTTTACTCTCTTCTCCTTTTTGGTCGTGTGCTTGTACTGGACCTGTACTGGGTCTGCCAAGGTGTGAGGTGAGCTTCACCCTTTTCTTTTCCTTCTTGTTGTGGGGTCGTTTTATCCCTGTGAAACCGTAGGTCGTAAGGACCTTGTTTATGTGCTGCAACAACAGTTTTTCTTGGATCCCTGTGAAATCGTAGGTCGTAAGGACCTTGTTTATGTGCTGC